AGTGTTCTCAGTCTGAGCGTCATGTGATCACTCAAACATCTGAATGTTTCTCCTCCAGCCTCCTCGTATTTATTCTGCAGAAAGTCAGAGTGAGCTGATGTGAGAACACAGCAGGATATAATCAGGAGAATTCACCTGGAGTCAGTGGGAGGGGCCAGTGGGAGGGGGTGGTGACCTTTATTCCCTGTGATCGCTGCACGACCATAGACTGTCTGCACGCCACCTCTACCATCTCCGTGCTCTAATCAACCTGCTGCTGCATGTTTCCTGTTCTCCAGGATGTTCTTCTCCTCTCTTTACTTCACATTGAGATTCTGTTCAGCTACACGGAGCGTTGATACAAACACATATATTCTCATCATAGTGTGGGATAGAGGACTCTGATGCTTCGTCTGCTACTTCCTGTTTATGTCATGTCTTGCCTAGGAGACCCCCCCCCCCCCCATGTCAATGTGGACACACACCTTTAGGATTTCCCACAGAATCACACAGTACCAGGGCGGTGGAGCTGGCAGGGGGCGGAGCCTTTTCTCTTCTAATTTAGAGGTTATATCCTAATATTAGGTTTGTTTAAATATTAACTGTGCTTGATCTTCACACACACACACACACACACACACACACACACACACACACACACACACACACACACACACACACACACACACACACACACACACACACACACACACACACACACACACACACACACACACACACACTTATTCAGTCTGGCTTTTATAAAGTCTTTTATATCAATTCAAATCTTAACATTATTGTATTGTCTTTTTTATCCTACTACAATTTTAAATATTTTCCTCTTATGTATTTATTTTACTATCTTGCTGCTTTTATGTGTTGTATTTTATTTTATTTTTATATATATTTTTTAATTCTTATTGGTGTGCATTAGTCTCTCAATGATTTTATAAACTACTTTTTGTCAACAACTTTTCTGCACTCTTGTAAAGCTCTTTGAACTGCAGTTTAATTTGTCTGCAAGGTGCTATATAAATAAAGTTTATATTTTTTTATTTTTTGGGGGCTTTTTGTGCCTTTAATGGGGAGACAGGACAGTGGATAGAGTCGGACATCAGGGAGAGAGAGCGGGGAATGACATGCAGGAAAGAAGCCACAGGTGGGAGGTGAACCCGGGCCGCCTGCTTGGAGGACCACAGCCTCCATACATGGGCGCGCACCAACCACTGCTCCACCAGCGCCCCTATATAAATAAAGTTTGATTGATTGATTAATCTCTGGGTTTTTTTAGAATGGGTGTGTATGTGACTTCCTGTGCTTCTGCAGCCAGCCTCTAGTGGACACTCGAGGGACTGCAGGATGCTGCTTGACACAAACAGACTCGTTCCACACATTCCCTGAGTACATTTTTCTGTGTGAAGTCCGGTGAGCATGTTTGTCTTCTCTGCACTTTTGAGTCGAGTAGCGACGTCGCACAGATTTGTAAGTAACAGAAACAGTCCTGATAGAGTCGTCTGTCTTTCCCACGCCGTCCTGCCTCCTGAGATCGCCCCCCCTCCTCTCATCGCAAATCTGAACATGCAACTCAGGAAGATTTCAGAGACCGTCTGCCTGGAGTGCAAATGTGTATGAAAGGGAATATTTGTGTCCTCAATGAGAAATGCCCTGTGCTGATAACAACACACAGCGTCTTTATTACAGAGATGATTCATCCACAACATTCACATTGAGAAGGATTCTGCACCTGTTGACTTCCTGACCACACCTGTAGCTGTCAATGTTTAACTCAGGGAAAGTGAAACGTTCTGAACGTGACTCCTGTGAGTCTGAGCTCAAATGTTCTGAGGTATTAATAAGTTATTCTCTCATGAAGTGGGTCAAACACAGGCCGTGTGTTATTTATAGACTGAATAATAAAGTTATTAATCCACCCTGTTTATTATCGTCTGTGTCGATGTAATGTTTCATTATAAATCTGTGTGTGTGTGTGTGTGTGTGTGTGTGTGTGTGACCCTGATCAACATGAAGGTCGATCAACAGGACGCCATGCGTTCACCAAACGAGGACGCATTAACCCTCTCTCTCTCACACACACACACACACACACACACACACACACACACACACACACACACACACACACACACACACACACACACACACACACACACACACACACACACACACACACACAGAGCCTATAAACCGAGGCCTTAGCTGTGCTAAACATTTAGTAAAATTAATACAAATTCAGCTGGATGTATTTTCAGGGTACAGTCTGACTGTTGTGTGCGTGAGCTCTCTCTGTGTGTGTGTGTGTGTGTGTGTGTGTGTGTGTGTGTGTGTGCGTGAGCTCTGTGTGTGTGTGAGTGTGTACGTGTTAGAATAAGGCGGAATAATGGCGAGATGTTGACGCACTTGCCCAAAGTGTTCAAAGTAAAGCCGTTTTAGGGACGAGACGACGTTCAGCATGAAGTAAGGATATGAAAGATGAAAACACGGATTGGCGCAGCAGACTGAAGTTTGACGCAGTTAAAGAAAGTGAGGGTGCAGCAGCAGCTGAAGCAGGAGGAGGATTACGCGCCGTCATGCGAGGCCACGAGGACCCGGGGAGGTAAGGGGACATGTTTCCAGATAGGATGAAGATCTGCGGACTCCCCCCCCCCACATGAGGACAGCACAGTGCACACGGACTCACCCCTGCAGTAATGTTGTGTTTGGCGGGTTTGGACGCCACGTTAGCCACAGGGACCAGCTGAGTCCGGAGCGCGCTCCTCAGGAGCCTGGAGGCGGCGGGCAGAGACATACCGACGGAGAGAGAGAGAGACAGGCAGCAGGAGTAATGTTAATGATCCTCTACTGGCTGCACTGTACGGGTTTATGTACAGGACACGCGCAAAATGTGCATGCGTACGTGCGTGCGTAATGGCGTGTGTGTGAGTGTGTACGACAGAGGGAAGGGAGGAGGGGGGGGGGGGGGGTCACGTTGACAGCCCTCAGGCAGCGTCGGAATTTAATTGGTCGTCACACCTCCGGATATCTGACACCGTGACCGAAGAGCGCGGGTCCTGTCCTCATATCACCCCTCGTGCACTCCTGTAAACATGTTATTCTACCACTGTGCACGAGCCAAACGGACGGACGGACACACACACACACACACACACACACACACACACACACACACACACACACACACACACACACACACACACACACACACACACACACACACACACACACACACACACACACACACACACACACACACACACACACACACACACACACACACACACACACACACACACACACACACACACACACACACACACACACACACACACACACACACACACACACACACACACACACACACACACACACACGTGCATGCGCGTCGTAGCGAGGCAGAAAGTGTGACTGACTTCCAGGAACACATCTATCTTTAATGTTAGTTTGTATTTATTCCTCTTTAAAGGAACTGAATACATGAACATGATTTTAAAATAAAACCTGAAGATGTTTATGAACGAGTCAAAGTTTAATTCATTGTTATTGTTTCATTTAAACAGCAGCAGAGTTTTTATGGATGTCACACAAACTTTGAGTCGTCATGATACCCGGATTGTAAACTTCCAGTAGATGAGGTGTTGCCATGTGCACAGGTACAGGACAGAACAGGTGCACTGGGATGGTTGAACTTTTCTCTTACAGTCAGCTCCAACATGTTGCCGATGAATTTGCACAATTTAGTCAGTGACGGAGTTTACATGCAGTTTTGTCATGGACTCATATTTCTCTACAAGAACCTTTCCAAGTATTTATCATTAAAGGAGCAGCATGTAACGCTGACCCCTAGTGTTTAAAATGGTACTGCAGTCTAAATTCTAAACATCATAGAGAGCTGTCTCCCCCCCTCCTCTGTAGAGTGGATGCTCACTCAGGTCACCATGTGGTGGACTCTGAAGCTTCAGTGTTTATCCAGCTCTGCATGGGTCTGTAAACCTTTCTGTGTTCTAACCTCTCTCCATTTTTCAAAAGCATCTCCAATATTGATCCTAGTTTGAGCACGTTTCTGCTCGTGGAGCTTATTAGAAACATGCAGAGGCTTTTTAGGTCGGGTACAATCACTTCTATCTGAACCACTTCTCTTGACCGCTTCCATCGCTGCAACACCTGTTGACCTGATAACTGCTCTCATATCTGGCACCGCAGATCTGTCTCATTCTCTTGTTTTGGCCTTGGCGTCTGAATGTTTTTTTAGGTAAAAGCTGCTCAAAACCTATTTCCCCAAGAGGCATAAACAAAGTTAATCAGAAGGAAACTCTTGGAGGTCATTGCTCTCAGAGAACAACCTCGGACTCCTTCTCTCAGGCAGGATCCAAAGGAAAATGTATTTAGGTGCAAAGGTCTTAAGTTTCCTCCGAGTCAAACAGGTACAGATTTACACTCCTGCTCACAGAGAGTCTTCACTCATTGGTTAATGACAGTGAGAGAAAAGCAGGGAGTTAACAGAACTGTGACACTCATAACATCCCATCCCAAGTGTGATCATATTTACAACATATACACCTTTTTAACAAGACGACAACTGTTTCTCTATGGAGACTTTAAAGACAACATTATATAAAAGACGAGCGGCTCAATCAGTCCATCAGGTTCACCTGTGTGGAGTGCAGAAGGCCTCTCTTCTCAGCAGTTTGTTCACAATGTCTCCCCCCCCCCCCGGTCTGATAACTTATCGTCCTCATCGGTGAATGTTTTGATGAAGGATAAGAGTTCTTCACAATAAGGCGTGTAGCTGACCTGATTGACAGGAGGTTTAAAACCCGCCTCAGCTCCAGCTCTCAGCCTGTCGATAGGTTGACTGAAAGAGTTACCATAGTAACAGACTCAGTGTTTGAAACCTGCTCACTGAAACAGGCGGTCTCATCTGTCCATGTTGCAATAAAGATATCAACTAGCCCTTTGGTTGCTCTCTTTGCACTTTAACTGCACACCACCACCACCTCCTCCTCCTCCTCCTCCTCCTCCTCGCACTAACCCATCATGGTCTGAGCTCTTCACTGATTTCATTGTGATGTTTTGTATTTTTTGTTGTGTCGTCTGATTGTTGAACTTTTATTCTAATTCAGATAGTACGGCGATGTCGTCCTTGTGTTTGTTGTCTTCTGTGTGCTCCTGCTGCAAATCAGGATTGTCATCCTTGTGGGACAGTAACGAGTCTGAATGACTCAAAGGTGTACCTGTATGAGTTTGAAGGTGTCTATTCAACTCTGGTCTCCGATAGAATCTTTTCCCACAGGTGCTGCAGGGGTAAGGCCGCTCACCTGTGTGTGTTCTCATGTGGTTTCTCATTTCACTGCTACGTCTGAACGATCGGCCACAGGTCCTGCAAGTAAACGGCTTTTCATTTGTATGGATTAAAATGTGACTGTTCAGGTGTGATATCTGACTGAATCTTCTCCCACAGGTGTTGCAGGTGTAAGGCTTCTCACCCGTGTGTGTTCTCATGTGGACCGTCAAGTCGTGGTTATCCCTGAACGATTTCCCGCATGTCTTACAAGACAGTGTTTTTTCCCCTGTGTGGACTTGAAAGTGTTTTTTTAAGACTGATAACTGACAGAAGCTTTTCCCACAGGTGCTGCATAAGAAAGGCCGCTCACCTGTGTGTTTTCTCATGTGGAATTTCAACGAGTGGCTTGAATAGAAATCTTTCCCACATGTTTTGCATAAAAATTGACTTTTTGATTTGCTAGTTGATTCTGAGTCTCTGAGCTCGCTGCCTTTGGGATCTTGATTCTCAGCATCCTGAGAGTTGTGAGAAAGGAGCTGGTGTTTATTTAGTAGTTGTTCTTCACTGTGGTCTGTCTCCTCATGAGTAAGAGTCATCATGGATGTGTCAGTCTCCTGCTTCAGTACGAGCTGCTCTCCCTCCTGACTGCTGCAGAGTCCCTCCTGCTCCTCTTTAACCTGTGGAGGCTCTGGATCCTCTTGGTCCGGACTGGAGTTCCTCTCCTGGGTACAGAGCTGCTGGTCAGGCAGAACCTCCTTCTCCTCCTCCTTACACACAAATTGTTTTGGGAGATCTGGAGGAACATGAAACAAAACCATTAAGATGTCATGGTATTACCAGTGGTGTAGTGCACAGTATACCTCTAAATCAAAGTCTACACAGTATTCAGTAGTACGCTGTATCTATCCCTAGGAGGGCAGAGGGCCGCCCCGCCCCACTCTGTCTCTAATTGGCTGGTACGCCTTGTTGTCTTTGTCGGTTGGTTGGGTAAGACTATCAAGAGTAGACGGGTCATTCTTTCACTCCCTTTCCATCACCTTGTCTCCCTCGTTATGTGAAAATGAATCACTCAAAGAAAACGGTGAAACACTGTGCAGAAAGTAAACCTTGAAGAGTCCTGGTTTGGTGAGCAGCGGAGGTGGGCGGGAAAACATTTCAAAGTGAAGTCGCTTCTTTGAATATGTTCAACATAACTGATGACTTGAATTGTAAAAGCCAATGTGTCATGTGACCTGTTACAACAGGAAGTAATCTGAGTACACTCCTGCATTGCTCTGTAACACATCACCTCTAACGCTGCTCAGGAATGAGGAGACGTAAAGGCATGAAGGTGTTTCAGTCTGAAGTCTGTCAACATGAAAAAGATCAGATGTGCTCCTCTTCTCAGCTTTATGTTGACTTCATAACAATCTGTACTCCTTTAAGTCGAGCAGCAGAAGAGTGTCAGTGTGTAAAAACAAAAGGCTCATTAGCTGAACTAAATCTGCTGAGTTTTCCATGTCACTGATTACAACAGAGGCCGATTAGGACCCTTCAAACATTTAGGGACTAATTCAGAGTATACTCACTTCTTCAGGCTCCACTTTGCATCAGCAGACCATTCAACATATTAACAACACAATATGAAGAAGATACATGAGAGGGATTCAAATAGTTCAGTGGTAATTTGAGGTCACTGATGGCGTTTATGTTTTATTAAAGGAGAAAATAACAAATATGTTGATGTCACGACTTCATGGTTAGAAATCAGTTTGTTTAAATGTTCCCACCACTCCGCTGTTTTAGTAACACCACTGGGAACAAAACGAATCAAACATCTCTGTATATTCATTTCAAATCATGTAGTTAGCTCCTCACCTGCTCTGTGTAAGATGATGTGAGGTTTCCAAACGATATCCAGCAGTCTGCGCTGACGATCGATCTCTTCCTCGTACTCCACGATAGTTCTTTTAAAAACTACAAAAATGTCTTCCGCAGCAGCCGTTAGTCGCTGGTTGATAAAGTCTCTCAGACTCTCAGCTGAACACATTGTTGTTGTTTTATTCAACTTTAAAAAAAGATGAACTAGGACAACAGGAAAGTCTGAGAGGAAATGTAGCTGCGTTCAGGTCTGGTGCTCTCGCTGTTTACTTCCGCTGTGTGTCACACTGTAAAGTATCCTACCGACGGTGGAGGTGCGGCAGCCTTTTGTTCCGCTTTCTGTGGATTTATTTTGTTCAAAACATGTTTTTATTATCAGAAACAAGATGTAAAAAACTTCTCTTTATTAAAAAAACTAGATGATATTGTACAGTGAGTTACTATGGTTACAGATAGACAGAAAGTGTATTTTAAGGTTAGCCTACAGGGACAGTGAGTTACAGAGATACTTTATTGATACCGAGGGAAATTCTATAATTACTAAAGTTACAGGGACAGACTGTTACCATGGTAACATGAACAGTGAGTTACTAAGGTTACAGGGACAGTGAGTTACTATGGTTACAGGGACAGCAAATTACTATATGGGTTACTATGGTTACAGGGACTGTTACTATGCTAACCGGGACATGCTGTGTCTGTCTGGAATATGCTCCAATCTGCTTTTTTTTGTCCACAATGAAATGAATGAATGAAACCTTTATTGCCCCTAGGGGGAATTTGCCTGGCACAGAGAGCTAAAAAACACAATACAAACAAAAATGTACAGGACAGCACATAAGAACAAATAAAAACACACTAAAGCGGTGTCCAATGAGGGAATTCAGCAAGTTAAATAAAGTGCAGAGTGTCGAGTTCGTCCTGTATGATCAGTTCTTATTAAGCAGCTGAATACTGCGCGGTACAGAGGATGTAATGCCTCTTTTAGTCCTCATCCTGGTGTTCTGTACCTGCGCCCTGAATTCAAGAGTTCATACTCTGACCAAAGGGGGTGCAGAGGCTCAGCTGTGATCTGACCGGTCTGTCAGGAAAGAAATGCTGTACATTTGCTTCCCAGTTATCTTGCTGCCTAGTTTAACAACCTTGTCCAGTTTGTTCTTATTTTGTAAGGACAGTGCTCCTCCCCAACACTGAATACAAAAGGTCAGCACACTTTCAATAAAAGTCTTGTAAAATAATTTCAGCATAGTGATGTCAACATTAAAATGTCTTAGTTTCCTCAAAAAACAGAGGCGCTGTTGAGCCTTTGCATATCTTGCTTTTGTGTTGGTGTTCCATGACAGTTTGTTGTCAATTACTGTGCCAAGATACTTAACTCTGGTACAATTTCAAGTTCTGTGTCCTTCATCTTTACAGGGGAGAGAGATGACTGTCTTCTAAAATCAATAATCATTTCTTTGCTTTTCTTTGTATTTAAAATCAATGAGTTATCAGAGCACCAGTTGTAAAAGTTGTCTAGCTCAGCTCTGTAATTGGTCTCTGATAAGACCTATCAGAGCAACATCATCTGCATACTTAATTAATTTACAGTTGTCATGATGACTTGTACAGTCATTGGTGTACAAAGTAAACAACAAAGGTGAGAGGACATAATTGTAGGGGATCCATTTGACTGATTGTTTCAGACCTCAAGTGAGATAAAACGATACGCTCAAAACATTTCATGACAACTGAGGTCAGAGCAATGGGTCTAAAATCATTGAATTCAGAGGGGCTTGTCTTTCTTGGTAATGGGATAATTTTAGATATTTTCCATGATTTTGGGATTAATTGTGAATTTAAGGAAGCTTGGAAAAGTTGTGTGAACACAGGACCTAACTGCTTACAGCATTTTTTAAGAGTATTCCCGTCTAACCCATCTGGGCCGATGGATTTCCTCACATTAATCTTGGAAAAGGCAAACTGCACTTCCTCAGTTGTTATTTGAATAGGAGTGCCATATTTTCTCCAGTCTGCCTCAGGCTCCAATGGGGATTGACTATCAGTCTCATATCATGCGAAGAAGTTGTTCATGTCATTGGCAAATTCAATTGTATATGAAGCATTATTCTGTTGGGAGTTCAAGCCAATCATTGTTTTAATTCCACGCCAAGCCCCCCTTCCTTTATTGTCTGTAAGTAGTTGCTCAACTTTAGCTTTGTAGTCCCTTTTTGCTTCGTTAATTTTCATTTGTATATTCTTTGTATTAGTTTCCCTTTATGTCTGTCATTTATTCTAAAAGCTTGTTCTTTTTCAATTAAAAGCTTTTTTTATCTCAGCGGTAATTCAGGGTTTAGTGTTTGCATATGGTTTTGTTTGTTTGGTAGGATCACATTAAACTTCATTAAATTCAAACACTTCCCAGTCGGTACATTCAAAACAGCCTTGTAAAGCAAGTACACTGTCATCATCCCACACTTTCACAGATCTTGATTTTGGTTTTCCAGTTTTCAATTTTGGTCTATATGATGGTAGCAGAAACACAGTATCGTGGTCAGATGCACCTTTTGGTGACTTCCTGGTTGCCTTGTAGCCTGCTTTAATATTGCCATAGCAGAGATCGATGGTTTTTGTTCTCTAGTGTGGCACTTCACATATTGCTGGTAATGTGGCAGCACTGATGTTAACGAACAGCCATTAAAGTCACCCAATATAATTTTTGGTACGTCAGTAGAGATTCCTTCCAGATTCTGAACATGCTGGTAAATTGTCTCACTGGCCACAATGTCACGAAAATCTGTCCAAATTCCTGTGGTAAGTACGTTGACCTGAGTGAAACTGAGAGGAGCTCGATATCGGCTGTGTTTACTGTGTGCCTCACGATGTAGTTTTTGCACCATTTGCTGTTTACGTACAAGCACACGCCCCCTCCAATTGTCTTCCCCGTAGCCTGTTGATCTCTGTCCACGCGTATCGGTGTTCGTTATCGACTGAAGCGTTCAGCCACGTCTCAGAAAAGCACAGAAGACAACTGTCTCTGTACTCACACAGATGTTGCACAGAGGCATGAAGTTCGTCGATCTTGTTTCTCAGAGATCATACATTGGATAAGATTGTTGTTGGGAGCGGAGGTTTTGATCCCCTTGCCCGAATGCGACGCCGGACTCCCCCACCGTGCACCCCGGCTCCTAACGCGTGTTGGGGGCCGGGATTGCTCTGCTGTGCGCAGGCATTCAACCAGGAAGTCAGGTGTCGGCATCCAGGGCTGACAGGGCGCTCGCTGAGCCAGGTGTGGGAGCGCCTCCCTCCCGTAAGTAATGTATGACTAAATAATCCATAAAAACAGCAGCAATGGTCCTGATTTACAGATGATGGCAGACATCCTCAATCACCACATTGATGCCACATTAAAAAAACATTAAGATAGACTGGAAAACGTGAAAACAAACACTTACAATTAGACAAACACGGAGCTCTCGTGTGCGTGTCAGCCGCAGAGCAGCGCCAAGCGTGCTTGAACTAAAATAATGATATGAATTATAAACTGAACTAAAGCCTATATTTACTGTGTCATCAAAAACTTTGGTCGGCTTCATGAATTAAATCATGAGGAATGAACTTTTCCTCGATGGGACCTGGAGCCTGATGAACATCTGAAAACAAACAACTCAAGAGGACAAAAACATAAACATCAGAAAATAACACCAACTTCATGTTTGAGTCAAATTAAGTTTAATTTCAAAGAAGAAGAAGATTAATGTACAGCCTTAATAAAATCCAGACTGTGATATTTAATAAACAGAAGTTATTGATGTTTTTTTTATGCAACATGGCCGTCGTATAAGAGGCGGTTTGGAAGCAGTGAAACTTTGTGTTGACATGGTGTCAGTTATTTAAAAAGTAAATCACTTGTAGAATATAGAGACATTATTTGAGTGAATTATCAAGAGTAACACACATGAACAACATGACGGAAAGATGACTGTGTCTGGGTTTACACCAAGAGCAGAAACACCAGCCCATCTTAAAACACGGGGTTAATTAGATCAGACGAGGAAGAAATGTGGAGGAGAACATGTTCCCTCTAAAGTGAAGAAGAGTCCAAGTATTCAGTTACAAACTACAGAGAGACTCAAAGAAAGCTCAACTTCCTTCACACTTCACTTCATTACAGAAGTCCAGTCAAAGATTCTTTTTCTGCCTTTGGATCACTCCACACTCCTGTCCACTAGGGGGCAGTGATTACAAAAAGAGACATTAAACTTGAACATGAAATATAAAAACATAAGAACAAATAGAAGAGCTGGCATCATCTATCTTTCTTTGTGTTTCCTGACACAGAAATAATCTCTTCAGATCGATCAGTCTTGGAGAAAACTGTGGAAACAGGGACACCTGCTGGCAGAAAGCAGTGATCGCAGCAACAGAACCTAAACATGAATTATTATTCAAATAAAACCCTCCACAGATTGAATTTATTTCTATTTAAAATCCTGAGATAATAAAAACAGAAGGTTCAAACATCAAAGTGTAATAAACATCAGAAGTTAAAAATAAAGATAGTTTGATAACGTGTCCGTTGTTACCCTGACATGATGAATGAATATCAATGATTGAGTCTGCATGTTATTCAGCTCTTTTTATATCATCTCATATTACATCAAATATTCAGGTGCTGACTCTGCACCTGGATCCAGACATCCTGTTTGTAGTTCTTTTAAAAACTCAGTGAAGCCTCCTCTTTGTTTTGATCCAACAAAGAGACGACTGATTTATTATCAGACGACCAACGACTCGTGGTTAAAAGCAGAACTTCACACTTTAACTTGCACAGGTGGAATCAACTTCTACTGTTATCTGTGAATATGAGTCAATGAATAACCTGCACCACTACACATGTCCACAGGGTGGCGCTGCAACAGAAACATTTATATCCAAATCAAAGAGTTCATCTTCGGTCGTTGAGTCATGAAGCAGTTTAAATTCAGAATATGAGAATAGAAAAATGTCCGAGGTCATGGTCCTGTGTGTGACGGTGGAGCTGATCTCAGAGCAGCTCAGACTGCAGCACTGAGAGTCATCTGCGCTGTGATTGGTCCGTCAGTCTCCCAGTAACACAGCCCAGTTAAAGACTCACCAACACACCAGCTGCTGCTTCCAGCTCTGTGATCAGCAGGATCCTCTCTTTAA